GTGTCCTTTAAAAACAGGTTAGTGGCTTTCGAGGAGGCTAGGGCGAGAAAGGTCGCCAAGTACTCGGTCTTAGCGGAGGAGCTACACCGACAAGGGTATCGTGTTGCGGTGACGGCCCTCGTCGTGGGCGCCCTCGGCTCGTGGGATTCGAGAAAAGAGGCCGTGCTCGCGATGCTCCGCGTGAGCAACAAGTATGCGCAACTAATGCGCCGTCTCATCGTCTCGGATACCATTCGCTGGTCGAGGAACATTTATGTGCAGCATGTGAGCGGCGTTCGCCAGTACAGGGCTTCTCTCCCTCCGTCTGAGGATGGGGCCCTTGCTGAGCCGCCCCAAGCCATTCGCCAGCGTTGGCCCGACGATCAGCGCGGCGACGATCAGAGTGCTTCGCGACCACTTTGCGTATGCTTTGATGCGACAATTGTGGCGGGCACCAGTGATTTTTCTGTGATATATATTCTGTCTTCTTCTGGCCCGCCACAACGATTAAATGAACGTCGCGTATTTATTCAATCGAGTGTGAATAACGCGTTTTTAATTATTTATTTATTTTAATAGTTGACTAGCGTTCTAATTATTTATTTATTATTAGATTAAGCCGCGCATGCACTCCCGGGACAATTTTATCTCTTGACCAATTTTTTATTGTGTCTCCGAAGGTGCCATACGAAGAGCGCTGTATTTTTATACATATTGCCCCAGTCTACCAGCTGGGGCAATAGTTTTATATAAATCTGTGATAAGGTGTCTTAGGGGTGCGCCCCCAGACACCCCAGCGTGATGCCCACTGCCGGGGGGGGGGCCGATTGTCTCCCGGCCATAATTAATTTTAAATGGCGCGGCGTAAACGCCGATATATTTATGTATTACCCTAGGAGGCTTGCACCTTGGGGAACATTAGCTGAAAATTAAAGGCGTATAACCTTCCTGTTGACCTAAAAACATACACAAGATTTTCAAATCACCGCAAAGTAACCAATTGTGCTGTTTATAGTCAATAGCTTCCAATAGTGTTTGTAAGTTCTCATGTTTTCTTTAGCCCTCTTCAGTCACACCTCCGAAAAATGACGTAATAGTCATTCTGGGTGAAATTCACCCAGCACCTTTGCACTGCAATAAAATTATTGTAAAATGCAAAAAAAAAAAATACTGAGATAAGTTTTGACTTTTTTTTACAAAAGCATGTTTATTATACAGGGTGTCCCATTTAACTTGAGACAACTAAATATTTCAAAAAAATAAGCATTGTACAAAAAAATGTCCCAAATAAACTTTTTATATTATCAAGGGGGACGTCTGCCTGTGTAAAAATGAACCCGCTCCCACCGCCCTTTGGAGGTGGGACGGGTGGCAACTTTGAAATTTCAAATGGGAACCCCCATTTTTTATTGCAGATTCGGATTCCTTGGGAAAAAATACGTAAGTTTTGTCCAAGACATTTTTTCTAATCGTGATAGATGGCGCTGTAATCAGTGACAATTAGTTTTTGCCATTTTCTCTTACCATCGGGGTGCTTTATTTCGGTGAGTCCCCTCGCCTCTCACTATTCAATTACAATAAATGCTCGAAATAATGACCTTCCATTTCGATGTATTTATTAACTCGAGCTTGGAATGCTTGTACACATGTAGAAAGTGTATCTGGCGTTATTTGTGCGCAAGCATATCTAATACGTTCCTACCTATGTTTTCTCGAGTATTTGGTACTTCTGTATACACTTTTTCTTTAAGGTAACCCCACAAAAGAAATCTGGTGACGTAAGGTCTGGCGATCTGGCAGGCCAATTTACCGGACCACCTCTACCGATCCAGCAATCATTGTAATTACGATTTAACACTTCTCGTACTATTACTGAATAATGTGCTGGACAACCATCATGCTGGAACCACATGTTTTGTCGCACTTCGAGAGGTACATCTTCCAACAGAATCGGTAGTTCATCTTGCAATAAGTTACGGTATTTTTCTCCGTTCAATGTTTACCTTCAATAAATACGGGACCGATTAGTTTGTCACCTATGATTCTGCACCAAACGTTAACGGACCAAGGACGCTGATGCTCAACTTAACGTAACCAGTGTGGGTTTTCCACACTCCAGTAATGCATGTTGTGACGATTAACATTGCCATGGTTTGTGAAAGTTGATTCGTCGGAGAACATTACTCGATAAAAGAATTGTGGGTCTCTTTGTATTTGTGTGAGTGCCCAATTGCAAAACACCACTCAATTATTAAAATCATCGCCATGAAGTTCCTGATGCATTGAGATATGATAGGGATGGAATTTGTGATGCTTCAGAATTCTCGAAAGACTAGTACGAGAAATTCCTGAATTACAAGATACCTCTCGAAAACTGACATGGGAGTTATGGGCTACTGCAGCTAGCACAGCAATTTGATTGTTCTCCCCCGTGGCAGTCGCTTTACGGGCTTTTTTTTTAGCTTTTACATTTCCTTCGGTAGTAAATTGTTTAACCAAACAAAAAAAAAGTAGCACGTGATCGTGGCTTATCAGGGAAACGGTCAGCATAGAGAGTAACAACTTCGTCGATTTCTTCCAGACTCACCATAAATCAAAATTATTTCAACTTTCTTCTCTAAAGATAAATAATCCATTATTTATTTG